CATTAGCACCTCTAGTAATATATTTACTGAGAAAAATGGTGACGTGTTCAATACTTATTTTACCCGCTGTATGTTCTCAGTTTATATCATGAAAAATGGTGGTGTTCCCTGAAAAGACCATTAATTACTACTGCACTGCTATAAAAAGTTCAAAAGCTGTSAAAGTTAAATCCATCACCTTATTTAAAGGTAAATAAATTCAGGCTTCATATCAGCGATCTATAAAMTCAGTTGGTTTAAGCTGCAGTAGCTCGATGTGTTGGTGAACGTGTCGGGTGTCTTACAGCTCAGTAACCGGCTGGAATCCCAGCTGCTTATATGCAAGTATCCTTTAAGTACTAATTTTAAACTTAAAATAAAAGAGTATACTTCCAGTTTACTTTTTATGTACTTATCTGAGATATACTTAACCAAGTTTATCTTAAAATATACTTGGCTTATACTAAAAGTATACTAAAAATTAAGTATACTTAATGTTTAAAGTTTTAGCCAAGATAACTTTAGTAGTACACTTTCCACACAGACTGGTTTATTTGTAGTATATTTCAAGATTAAACTAAAAGGATACATAGACGTTTACTTTCAGTATACTTCTGAGTATACTTTCATAAACTTGTAAAAGCAGACATAGACATTTTTCTTTTTTTTAAGAAGGATGTCAAACTAAAGGTAAGGACCAGAGTTGTCTGACACCCTAGTTTTCAAAATAAAAGTCCCCTTAAAAATGTTTAAACGGCAGAAACCACATCTTTTTTTTTTTTGCCCACTGGTGGAACAAAGACTGTTAACCCTTCTTGGTGATAAATCTTGTTCTGTTGGAAAGTCTGTTTATTTCCCTTTTATAAATGGAGCCACATTTGCAAGGAACATGCATTTTGTGGGATGAGCAGCAGAGCTGAGTGGGTTTGTTACAACAAAGATATAATCCATCAAACACAAATTTCTGTTAAATATGAAGCACTTTTTGGTTGTTTTTATGATGATTTGTAAAGATTAACATTATTAAAGCTTAACTTACCCCAAAATAAACTTTTTTTAGCTGATAAACTGTCTAGAATGTGTCTAAAATGTTATCTAGTACTGTTTCTGTGCTAATTTTGATGTTTTTGTGCGTATTTGTTCAAATCTGTAATATTTGGTCTAAAAACGTGCTTTTGCTGCTCATATGGGCAGTGGTACTGCAGGCTAATTTGCATATTGGTTAACGGCTCTCCGCTGTGACGTGGTTCTGCAC